CCAAATTTGAAGTTGATATGAAAAAAATTGAGGTTCCTTTGAGATTTTATTTAGGGTGTCATACCACAAACAGCCACCGGGTGCCATCCAAACTCCATTGAATTTGTTTAATGCATTTTTCTGTCACAAATGCCTAGATTTCTCTGTCAATATTAATTGACAATATCAAAATAACCACCAAATATTGGATCCTGAGACTCAGACCTTTCCAATGATATGTTTTTTGTCAAAATTATAAAAAGGTTTGATTCTAAAAGAACGTAATACATTTTGTAATATGACACTTGACACTGCCCACTAAGGGGGAGGAGACTGCCAAAAGATTTTAAAGTACCTTTTCCATGGTAACGCAATGTCGGATTTCAAAATGGTTTCAAAGGATGAATCTTGGGCTTCTAAGGGATTGAGTATGTTCACCTCATGGTGTAGATGGCATAGCAGCTGGTAGCCAGCACATTTAACCAGCAGGTTGTGCCATGAACGCATCTATTAAACCCAAGGGTTTTCAAATGGTTTGAAGCCAAGGACCCCCAAATATGATGATGATCCCCTTTTGAGGTTAGGCAGCTGTTTATTTAGATGTATAAAGTCCATTTATAGTATGAGAAAAAATATTTAGGCCAAATGTCCACAATAGATGGTTTTTATTGTGTCATTGAACTAAACTAACAGCAAATAATTGAAATAGTTAATTAGAAAATATTTACTTTAAGTAGATTGATTTTTTTAGCCACTATTAATGTTAGATAAATTAAAATCTATATTTATATACCACTTTTCACAATAAATATTGTTCCTAAGTACATAAACCATATGCAGATTTTTTGTCAATAGAATAAAATAAATGTGATGTTAATTTAACCCCTTAACTGTCACCCCCCATTTTTTAAAATAGGCATGAAAGTGCACTATCCAAACTTAAATTGTTGTAATTTATGAACACTTTGGAATACAGACCTAAGGTTGGGCTCTTTTTAAAGAAGAAAATCAGCTGATTATTAAAATTCCAAAAAGTTATAAGTTTAAATTTACTGTAAATAAAATGCACTATATTTATTTTATATATAATAAATAGTTTACATAACAGGTTTTACTCTAAAATTGGTATAAAATTAAATTATAGAAGTTATGTTCCAAATTTGAAGTTGATATGAAAAAAATTGAGGTTCCTTTGAGATTTTATTTAGGGTGTCATACCACAAACAGCCACCGGGTGCCATCCAAACTCCATTGAATTTGTTTAATGCATTTTTCTGTCACAAATGCCTAGATTTCTCTGTCAATATTAATTGACAATATCAAAATAACCACCAAATATTGGATCCTGAGACTCAGACCTTTCCAATGATATGTTTTTTGTCAAAATTATAAAAAGGTTTGATTCTAAAAGAACGTAATACATTTTGTAATATGACACTTGACACTGCCCACTAAGGGGGAGGAGACTGCCAAAAGATTTTAAAGTACCTTTTCCATGGTAACGCAATGTCGGATTTCAAAATGGTTTCAAAGGATGAATCTTGGGCTTCTAAGCTTTCAAATGATATATAATTTATGATGATTACTAAAATATTTGATGGAAAAAAAGGATAACAAAAAAAAGAGCACCAAGCGTCCCACAGGTGGGATGGTGACAGTATGTATATATATATATATATATATACTATTTAATTTCATCATTTTTTGTTTTGAGATCAGTATCGTGTCTTGAACTGAATCATGACATGAGTGTATTGTTACACCCCTAGTCAGTGCAATAAACCGGATGTTATTATTCAGGTAGCTAGCAATAAATATGTCGACAGTTTAACTAACTTTAACCAGATTGATTGTCCCTTGATTATCCGTAATTGAAACTAGCTGTAGAAGTAAACTCTTCACACTAATGTAGCGGCCTTCAAATCAACACTGATAATTTAGATATTTTTTAGACATACTTTTAGACATTTCAGAACACAACAAAACCGAGCTAGCTTAGCCATAAGCGTTTACATTCACATATTTAGGTTTCAGGCCTACATAAGCACGCTTTTCCAATGTTTTGTTTGTTTTCCGACATACGTGTGCATGCAGAGGTTCAAGGTTGATCCATGTATAGTGTGTATTCTGTTACATGTTTGTATAGAAGGTTTTTCTGGCTTTGTATTCACAAATCAAAAACATCTGGGCTGCTTGCTACCTCTCTGTGAACCCTGACCCTACATAATCCCCACAGAGGGGTCAATAGAGACCAGCTCCAAATGGTGCGCAGAAACACTGCTAAGATAACATTTATATATACACTCGGATGCTGAATAAACGTGTTTCTGTCTTTTGGTTTTATATTCCAGTTAAATTGCATTGTGCAGTGATTGATTTGCTGAACAACGGAGTAGAGCTGTCTGATTTTGATGTGGCCAGTGATGGCTTGTTTTCTCACGTGTGATCGTGTTACTGAGAGATAGCGGGCAATAACTGTCCCATTGGACTTCTCATGGCTTCTTTACTGTAATCATGCTAACCCAAATATTTGTTTGGTTTCTCCAGGGAGAGAGAGGGGTCCCCGGCCCTTCCGGACCTCCAGTAAGAACTTCTTATCATGACACTTTCTCTCATGGTTCTTACGTCTGAAATATATTTGTCTGTTTTAGTCTTTTTCGCTCTTACCCTTGATCACTCTTCATCTGTCTTTCTGTCTATCTCTCTTTCAAAGCACTAAAGCAGACATCCTATTGTGATTATCCACAAAATCAGGTTCAGAAGATTTATTTTTCTTGAAAACAGACCCAAAATACTCTTCTACCCCTTGCAAACTTTGCTGTGCCTTTTTATAATAACTGGAAAAGTGCTGTGTGCCACAACAAAGCTAGATTACTAAACTACACCGAAAGAACGTGATGCTGCACCCTCAGTTATATATATATATATATATATATATATAAATTAATTAATTAATTTTACAAATAAATTATATCTCAATTTAAATTAAAATTGAGGAAAAAAAAGTTATTGAGCTATATCGTAATTTTATATTTATGTATGTGTATGTTTTTTTATATAATAAAATTCTGTTAATAATAGAAATTAATAGTAATAGTAAAAATGACTAATTCATTAACACATGTATGTGATTTCGGTATTATGAATTTTATTGTACATTTAAATAACTTGTGACTTTTTATGTAAAAGCCAACTCGTGATGTTTTTGGTTTCTACCCTTCTTTAAATAAAAAAATTTAATAATCAAGGCTTTTTTTTCTAACCATATGTATTTGCAATTGTTGTATTTGAAATGAATTATGCATGCAAAATCATCAGTTTCGCCATTTAAATTATCAATTATATTTATAAATTATTTATTTATTTTATTTGTTTGTTTGTTTTTGTATTACCGCTTTTTCTTTTGCAGATTTTTTTTCCTATTTTCAGTGATTTTGCATACATTATTTTGGCAAAATCTGTAAAATGCTCAAAATAGAAATAAATGAATACAAACCAATAAAGAAATAAAAAAATGTATATTAATTTAACTGGTAAGACTTAAAAATATTGACCAAAATATTTAGATTTTGCAGAAGTTTTCTAAGTCTCACCATTTAAATTGCTATAAATTCTGTGTTATGTTTTATTATTTATTTATTTAGATTAATTAAGCCTATTTGATGGCAGTGTAGACATCTGCAAGGCTGCTATGGTGCAACAGCAGTGTACACAGTGTTTAAAGAAAACTAAACTCATAAAAAGTTACTGTAAATCATGTACACATGAATTCTCATTCTTAAGAACTAACTTCTGTGTTTAAAGTATCCAAGCTCAACAGGAAGGGAGGAACAGCTCACTAAATTAGACGTACAGAAAGACAGACAGTGTGTTGAAACTGTGAATCTTTATTTTACATGATTGCTTAATGCCCATTTCTGTTAATCCTGTGGGTGTGGAACAACTCTTAATCCAGTGACATGGAATTTGATGTGATGATGAGTGTGTTTGTGTTTTCAGGGCCCACCAGGATCCTTTGACTTCCTGTTACTCATGATGGCTGACATTCGTAACGACATCGCAGAGTTGCAGAACAAAGTGTTCAGCAGACCGTTACACTCCGTAGAGGATTTCCCATCTGCCCCGGACAATTGGAGGGACACCCAGGAAAGCCTGGACTTTGGCTCTGGAGAAGACTACAAACCCCAGATCCCGCCTAAGAGCACCAGGAAAAGGAAATTGCCTCGGACCTTAAATAATCCAGATTGGCCAATTTAAAGATTGCCCTCAAAGAGTGCCAGAACTGAAAGAAAGAACTGATTGTAGAGAGAATGAGTAGTGTAAATATCACAGAACGACTATTTAATGTATACTCGCTTAAAAAAGGCTGAATGTATTTCATTGTATGAAATTTCTATTTTTATAATATAAAGGATGTACATTTTGTATTTTGGGCATTTTAAACGTGTCATTTGTCTACCAAATAACTAATAGGTTACATATAGCATAGTTCTCTTGTTCTAGGGCCAGATTCATGGAACATTAAGAATCAAATTCTTCTTAACTGCTGATTTCTTATTTTCTAGCTTAAGAAAAAAAGTTAAGAATATTTTGTAGTTCCAAAAATACTTCTAAAAATATCTGTAAGGTTTCTTAAGATAACACAAGAAGAATTAAAATTCTTTCAAACAAATGGCCTAATTTTATTCTAATTAATATATAGAATGTGCAACATACTACAGTTCAAAATGTTGTGGTCAGTCATATTTTATTATTATTATTTGAAATAATACTTTTATTCAGCAAGAGTGCATTAAATTGATCAGATAAAAAAAATTAAACTGATAAAAAAAAAATCTGGTTTAAATAAATACCGTTTTATATTCATTAAAGAATCCTGAAAACAATGTATCACAGTTTCCACAAAAATATTAAGCAGCAACTGTTTTCAACATTGATAATAACAAGCAATGTTTTTGAGCACCAAATCATTATATTAGAATGATTTATATATATATATATATATATATATATATATATATATATATAAGAGGCACTCTATAAAATATTACATTCAGTTCAAACCCATGATTCAGCAATAATAGAGGCCCATCAGTGTTTTCAATAAATCTGTTTTTCTTGGTTGTCCTCACCTATTAAACACCTTGCCCTCTCTCTCAACTCTCTTCTTTGTATTTTCCTCTCACAGTTCATGAAGCGGTTCACAGCTATGGAACGTCATTGCCATTTTACCTTCCTGTTCACTCATTTATCTCTGAGGAAAACAAGATCATGGATGGCTGCTTCTGCATCTTCTGTAGGTTCTGTTTTCCATAGGTGTTGACATGACTAAGGAACTCTAGGAGAGACTGTCTGTTAACGATCTGCAGGCCTTGTAAAACTGGAACATGGGGTAAAATAAAAGTGGGCCGAATACTGATCCCTGCGGAATACCAGTGAGTACTTGGTGCTTTCACCATGACCTTACATTTCCAGTGTGACAAATGATTTAGAGGTAATATTTGCTATAATTTTTTATTTCTTATTTAACTGGACTTATTGGTTAAGACATTTTTATACAAAAATAAATCGTATAATAATATACACTATAATTCAAAAAAATATATAGATATATTTTATGCTCATCGTATTTACATTTATTTGATCAAAAATGCAGTAATATTGTGAAATATTCTATAAATATTATTATTAAAATTTAAAATAACTCATTTCTATTTCAATATATTTTCAAATGTAATTTATTCCTGTGATGACAAAGCTGAATTTTCACATTGAATTGTCACATGATCCTTCAGAAATCATTATAATATGCTGATTTGCTGCTCAAGAAACAATTCTTATTATAATCAATGTTGAAAACAGTTGTGCGGTCATGCCACCCATCACACTGGAAATTCAAGGTCAGGTCAAGGACATTGAATTCTGGGTTAATATTTCAAACATAACCTGTATATAATGTAAAATCTGTTTGTCTTATGAACATTTATCATAGTTGAGGTTGCAGTACTAAACTTGTTAATTCTTCCATTTGAAGCTTGGAAATCAGATCCAAACACGCTTGACTGACGTCTTACCCATATTCCCACCGTCGGGCACCTGTATGATTCTGGCACTGTTTTCCCCTCCACATTTCATGGTTAAATTGTACTGATCCCTGTGAGAGCCACGCAGTAATGGCTCATGAAGAGAAACTGTCTGAAGTAACCAGCCAACAACTGCGGCCAGTTCACCCTGTAGGCCATTTATACAGACTTCATCAAAACATCGTTTTCCAGTGAGACAAGAACAACTTGAGCTGTGAGTACTGTGTGAACGCAAAGACAATATTTTGATTTGACTAAGTGAAACGATTAATATGAAAGTTTGGAAATGGCCAGTAAGTTTACATTACCTGTTATTAAATAATGACGCATAAGAAGAATTAGATGTCTATTTTTGTGGGACTTGATCTCCTTTGCAAATTGTGAATGAAAAATAGATCCACGTTACACAGTTTAATTGCAAAGTCAGTGTTTCCCATGCCATTTTGTCTTACAGTATATTTACCATTTTCATAATTCATGATGTAAATATAGCTGAAACATGAGGACCCTGATTTTTAGTTTTTTTAGAAATTTTGCACATTCATTTGAAATACAATAAAAATATTTATAAAAGGACAGCCAAGAATAATATTAAAATAGTCGATAGAAAGTGAATTAGAAAGTCAGACTAAATATAACCTATAGAAAACCTACAGAGAAAAATATTAAAGTTTAAACTACTCTTTAATCAAAATAATCACAAATAGTGACAGATAATCACTCCTATAAACGTGTTATGTTCTCTGCCTGGCTTTTATTTGATTTAATTTTATTGCTTTTAAAAATATTCATATATTTTAGCCTGGATTTTATTTTATTTTACTTTACAAGTGCGTGTATATACTCCGCCTGGATTTGATTTGGATTCATTTTATTGCCTTTTTTATTGCACACTCTTTGTTGTGTGGCTATTTAACCACTAGATGGAAGCAGTGGTGTATTATAATGCTGTATAATATTGCATACAATGCAAACACACAAGCTCCAGACTTTGTGGTAGAACAAATGATTATGACAAACCTATAAATGAAAACTGGTGAAAAGTGATCATACTAATGTGTTGTGACACTGAGTAAATTTATCGCTTCATTCTAGTACTGCACAGGTCACCGAGTATGATTATCCTTTGTGTCTTCATTTCCCGCCTCCTAATGAGATAAATAATCAGGTGGAGCGTGACGTAAACACAAAATGCCTTTTGTAAGCACTTCACTCACTCAATTAAATCTAATAAATGTAAAATAGACAATAGAGGCAGCTTGAATTAGTGTTTATAGCCTCTCATGCCACCTTTCCAAACACATTCAGTCAGGCTGAACTATTTACTTTCCTTGATTTATTTTAGGCCTAGATCTAAAATAAGCCAAAAACATGGAGCAATTGCTTATTAACTATTAAAAGGGGCTCTTACTTTGACATTTCCTAGCCTCTGGTTGTTTTGGATGGAGATGTAGCTGACTTGAACTCCCCCTTTCCATCTCAACCCATTCACGAGGGTTACTTGGCACAGCAAAGCTCATTCAGGACTGCCTTGGCTTCTGTTTCTGAGTGGTACAATCCCCAAATATCAATCCATGCTCAGATCTGGTTCCAATTATCTCCTCTCAAAAGCCTGACACCCTTTCCACATGTCTCTCTTTTGAGAAGTTTTGCGCCCCAGTTCCCCAGGCTGTACTTAAAGTCCATCCCTGTTTAGATGTTTCCACTGAAGAAATGATGCCACCAATGCTGCTGGGATAATGACTTGATCTGGTTCAACATGCTAAAAAGGCTGAACCAATTTAAGGCAGGTTTAAGCTGGTCTAGCTGGTCTCCCAGCTTGAACAATCTGGTGTTTAGCTGGCTTAGCTGAATTGAACTAACATGCATGTGCTTGATTACATTGTATTAGCATGTGAACATTTCTCTGTTTATAATATATATATATATATGTTGATTTTGTATAATATGGGAATCTTTCAGTATTATGGTATATCAGGGAAGCGCGGGGCTAGTTGTCACGTTTTCACTCCAGTGAATATATTTTTCACTTTTTTGAAAGTGAATATGTATATTTAGTTACAGGAAAAAACTATAAAATGTCAATAAATAGAATTTATTGACATTTTAACACCATGTAGTGTGACAATATGTCTAGTTTGATGGGGTATTTTTTATTTTTTTTAAATAGATAGTGGTGCCTAATAGAATAGGCACCACTTTAGTACTTTTTTTCATTTAAACTAAAAGGTTAAAGCGATAATTCACTCAAAAATAAATTATTTTAGAATTTACCCACAAACATTTCATTGACTTTTGTTGTATACAAGACATTTTTAAACCGCTCCACAGAAGAAAGTCAGTCATATGGGTTTTTAATGACATGAAGGTGAGAAAATGATTACAGGACTTTTATTTTTGGGAGAACTGTCCCTTTAAGAGATAGAAATGCTGTGCTAATAAAGTTATTAATGAAAGTTATTCTCTTACACAATAAGTGATGTCATCAAGTTAATTCTGGGCCAGTGACATTTAACGCATTAACGTTATTAACCCAAAAAGAAGAAAAAAAGCGGCGTGAAACGACCAAGAAGCTCTTAAGATTAGAAGAAGAGGGGCTGGATGGGAAGGAGGTAAACAGGACATCATTCAGCCAGAAATATTCCCCGAAATCCCATCTGGAAGTAATTAATGGACAGTGTACAAGAGCCAGCCTTAAAAGATTTCAAATATTTGCTGAAGTGCCCCTTGTTCCTAATTATATCTCACTGGCTGCCTCCCTCATTATTTAGAACTGCCCACTATGAAGGAAAAACCACAAGTGAAAGTGAATGCGGCCCCTGCCCGGGCCCCATTCAAACAGCATCAAGCTAATGCTTAATGGCAGATCCTGAATGAGTCACTGTGCTGGAATAAAAGTCATTAATGAGGTAATTTTATTAACTGTGCTTGCTTGCCCGGCCTCGTCTGTATGGAAGAACGGGAGGGGAAAACTTCCAGGCGAACATCAGCGACGACAGTGGAAATTAAGGTTTCACTCCGCACTAATTAATGCCTTTAAGAGATTAAATGCAAGCGCCAAATTAACTGCCCCAAAAACCTTCACTGAGGGGAAGAAATACATTGTTGCCCTCCCATGTAATTACAGGACAGTGCAAATTCAATTTTAATGAGGCGAAAGCCACTCCTTCAGCTCATTTTTCCCCCTCTTCAATCCACAGAAAGAAAGAGAGTGCTAGTGAAAGCTTGCTCTTGTTGAGGCCTAAGTTAAAGGAAGCACCGGCAGGACAAAGACCGATTGTGTGCAAGCCCAACGCTTTAGAAGCCGTAAACAGGTATAGAGGCTGAATAGCCCTCCTTCTGAGACTCCTGGGAGGCCTGGCTTCCCATCTCCACAACACTGGGCTCTTAGAAAGGTAGAGAAGGAGAAACAAGGTGAGGAGGGTACGTTCGGTGCTGAAAGGGCCCCAGTGAAGCGGGCGCTCGCTTTTGAGCCTCAGCCTCCCTCCCGCTCTCGTTGAGTTATCTTTATACAAGTTTTGTCTCTTCTAATTGAAGCTGATGGGTGACTAATTGGTAGCTTTTTTACAAAGCGCACTACTTAAGCCACGGCAGGCTGAGGGAGACAGCATGAGCGGAGTTAATGAGAGGTTTTATACAAATAAAGGTCTTAAACTAGGCCCTCCATGTTTGCAAGGGGGGCCACCGAGGAAAGTTGAGGATATCCTTTTGTCTTAAATTTCCCTTCTTCTTCTTCTTCTTCCGTGCAGGTATCTTAAAAAAGGGGGGACATTCAAAGGTGGAGGAGATGGCGAGCACTTGTGAGGATAAAGGAATCCATTCGATATTGTTTGGAACCTTTGGTTTTCGTGTGTCGGTAAATAAGAGCAGGGCACAGCCTCTCCGGTGAATGCTCTTTAGTTCGGACAGATAATGAGAGAACACTCTACATACACACACAGGACCGTGTTGAGCCACTTTAAGGTAATGTTTGAGTGCTCAAAACACCACACACATGCACACACAAAGGGCACTACTGCTTTATGTAGACACACACTTGCATAAAATAGGTGCCACAAGATGTCGAAGAAGTATGTACTAACACTTCGTTTAATTGGCACATATTTGAAAATACTTTTTCTAATTGGTTCTTTTATATTTATTTTGTTTAATTTTATCATCTATATTTATTTTCTAATCTAAAATAATAATAGATAATATTTCTTACACTTCACTTAACACTATAACACTTAATGACATATAATTTAATGTACTGTTTTACTTCTTTGCAGTTGAAATAGAAATGTTGTAATATAGATAGCTTTTTTTAATTATATATATAATAATTAAAAATGAAATGATAAAAAAATCATTTTAATTTTATAATAAATATAATATATATATATGTGTGTGTTACAAAAAAATCTATTGCAAATAAATGTTGAATAAATTAACAAAAAAATGTTTATCATTGATAATAATAGAACCATTAATAATTCATCGGCAATAAAAACTGATCAAATTAAGCAGCAAATTAGCATATTATATTAATTATTTCTGAAGGATCATGTGACACTGAAGACTGGAGTAACGGCTGCTGAAAATTCAGCTTTACCATCACCGAAATAATATTTTAAAATGTATTCAAATAGAAAACAGTTATTTTACATTGCAATAATATTTCTGTTTTTACTGTATTTTAAATGCAGTCTTGCTGAGCATAACAGTCTTCTTTCAAAAAATTAAAAAATCATAATTATTCCTTTTGACTGCTAGTGTAAATAATAATAATAATAAATAACATAATGCATATTATTTATTAAATATTATACTTGCCCACAGAGATTTCACTAATTCATACAATACTTTTTATTTTATGTTCATTCAATAGGTTAACACTCAATAAGTCAATAACAAACACATCCCTGATTATTGATCTATTCATTACTTGATTTAAACATAAGCGTGTCGTCCAAAAAGGGGTCAAATCTAAATGTCGGGTCTATACCGTAATGAATAGACCATCTAGGGCTGAAGTGAACTCCCTGCAGGTGAAGGATAATAAAATGCTACATGCTGCTTTTCTTCCACACCACTGTTATTTACTCAGGTTTTGTTGTGGGAATTGTTTTTCAAATCGTTGTTTTTTTGTCTATTTGCATTAGTTTGTGAATTCAGTGTGAAAGACACTGAATACAGAAAAGGGAACCCAACTGAGAGGTGAGAAGCCATGCTCAGCTGCTCTGTGTCCCTTATGACCTGAAAAGTCCTGTTAGGAAACACTTGCTGCCACAATTCAGTTTTTCTTCCATATCAGGAGGTTTATGACCCTTCTTGCCATTTTACACATTAAAACTGTGGTCTATCTGCATCTGCTTTCCAAAAATAACATTTGTTTGGCTGCATAATTAGCTGGCCAAATATTTGTGCTGACTAATTTGTCGAAGTATTCTCCTGATGCGTAATCCATTAGCTCCCATCAGGTGCCTTTGTCTCCAATCCAAATGAGCCATTTGCATTTCCTTTGTTATTTAAATCGTGCATTTCCTCCAAACTGTGAGAATTAACTTCCTAATGAACTTCACACAAAAGAGAAGGGACCTCAATTACAAACTCTCTCCTCAGGCTAACGTAATGATGCGAACAAGAGAGACACTTGTCATGATTAGGGGAGTATCGTGAGCTGGAGAATAGGCCACGGGAAGAGATCAGCAGGACTGATGCTGATGGATTACTCACAAGCAAGGATTCCAACAGCCTTTGAGTAACAAGGCGTGACATTTAAGTCTGTCTAAGCATGAAAAGATAGTTTTGGGAAAATGCAACATGACGTGGTTTTTCAGGCAAGAGATGAGTCAAAAAAAAAAAACCTTGATTTTGACATCAACAAAATGTTTATGGGTAGTTGACATAAAAAATTGCATGATCCTACATTTAAAGGTTAAAATGATTTAATAAGAGAAATTTGTATTGTTAGATTATTATTATTAATATTTTTAATTGATTTATTAGTCCAGCAAAGTGCCTTTAAAGTTTAAAATTTATTTAAAAATGTATTTAATTTAAAATGTGTATTGTTAAATACTGTTTTCTATTATCATCAACATCATCTTACACTAATTTGAATCCCCTATTAGCTTTAGTTGCTATTTAATATTATTATAAAATGTTTGACACTACTTTAATCTACTTTTATACTACTTTTTGCATTTAAATGATCAAATTTATAAATAAGAAAATTATATATATATATATATTTTAGATACTGTTTTCTATTGTTATTATTATTAATACATATATTTACACTATTTAATCCCCTATTAGATCTCTTTTTTGAAGTTCAATTATAGTCCCGCAAAGACTTTTTTTTTTTTTTAATGCATGTAAAATAATAAATATGAAATAACCAATAAAGGTGTTGTGGATGGTTGCCACTATGTGGTTAATATTAATATTAATATTAATGGTGTTCTGATTCCAAGGTTCATGGTTTGTCACATACACATGTATTTGTCAGATATGGCGACTCTGTCATCTCTATCAATGCAAGTCTATGGGACTTTGTTCCAGCTTGCCAGTTAAACGTGCACATCAGATCTCTTGTAAAATGAATAGCACTTCTCTTTTCAACAAGCCATGTGTTGCGTGGAAGTGTATAATTCATGATTGTAGCACAAATGGTACAGGACAAGTTAGATACGGACGTTTGACACGTATAGTTTTGGGTTAATTCAAATATCTAATCTTTATGTATACAAAATAATGAACAAAAGCACAAGTATAACCATGGGGAAGTCGTGGCCTAATGGTTAGAGAGTCGGACTCGTAACCCAAAGTTTGCGGGTTCGAGTCTCGTACTGGCAGGGATTGTAGGTGGGGGGAGTGAATGTACGGCGCTCTCTCCCACCTTCAATACCACGACTGAGGTGCCCTTGAGCAAGGCACCCCCCAACTGCTCCCCGGGCGCTGCAGCATAAATGGCCCACTGCTCTGGGTGTGTGTTCACGGTGTGTGTGTGTGTGTGTGTGTTCACTGCTGTGTGTGTGCACTTCGGATGGGTTAAATGCAGAGCACAGGTCACCACACCATAATGCAGTTTAAAATAGATGGAGTTTAGCATGTCACTCTGCTTTGTCAGCTGTACGTCAGTGTAAATTATCCACTTTTGATCAACATAAAAATAATTGTTCTACTCTTATATGTAACAAAACACAGATGTAA